AGTTTATTTCTTTTACAAACAAAAACAAGCATATTCAATCAAGCAAAGAAACAGACAAAGAGAAACAATTTGAAGTCAGAGCATAAACGGTTAGGAACACTAACATAAACGGTTGGGAACATTAAAAAGGCGAAGAATACTAGGATTCAATGACATACTAGCTGTCCAATCTGTAATATCAAAATGAATATTTAGCTTTTCAAGAAAAGCAGAACAACCACATGTACTCAATTGCTTGTCAGTGCTTACTAGTATATCCAGACTATTTAAAAACTTGTCATTAACTGAATGACTTTTAGGTTGTGATTGTGTGGTCGTGATACACTTTATGCACTTTTACATAATTTAAGAACATAACTTTTTCATAATCTCCAGCAGTGTCCACTCTGTTGTCACCGTTATCAACATTTTTGTCGTCTTCCTCATCGCCATCATCACCATTATCATCTCCATCATCGTCTTTTTCATTGTCGTTATCTTCGTCATCGTCGTTGTCGTCGTCGTCATCGTCGTCGTCTTCGTCTTCATATTCCTCTTCGTCTTCGTCGTCGTTGTCGTCGACAACATCATCATTATCGTCCTCGTCTTTGTCAACGTCGTCACCGCCTACGTCGACGTTTCTCTCCTCCTCATCATCGCAATCACCGTCACTACCGTCGTCCCAATCCTCGTGGTCTTCCTCATCCCCATCATCATTATCATCATCTCCATCATCATCTCTTTCATTGTCGTTATCTTTGACATCGTCGTCACCGCCGTCGTCATCGTCTTCGTCTTCGTCGTTGTCGTCGACAACATCATCACTATCGTCCTCGTCTTCATCAACGTCGTCAACCCCGTCACCGACGCCTACGTCGACGTTTCTTTCTTCCTCATCATCGCAACCCCTGTCAATACCGTCGTCCCAATCCTCGTGGTCGTCGCCGACGCAACCGTCCTCGTCGCCAGGCATATTGCCTGATCCAACTCCACCAGGTATAGTTTATAACTCCATTCTTAAACTTTGTATGTATTTCAAAAGAATTAAAAAGTTCCATACTGAAACTTTGGCCAAATGAAAGCTGCTCGATTATGACGAAACACTACGTGACGACAAATACTACGACAGAGGTAGTAGTCATGAGTAAAATGAAAGAAGGGCGTTATGATGGAACAAGAACTGGTGATAAAAACGTTCTCGGCGAATTTACAACTCAATTCTTATAATGTCCGCACTGAAATTTGGCCAGATATGCGTCACACAAATATGAAATTAAGTGAATGACAGAATGACAAAATTTCTCTAAGTTAAGGCAAATTTTTAAGGTCGTCAAAGCCATATGGTGTGGGAAAATTCAAGTAACGGTCATAAGAAGTCCATGCTAAATCGAATGTCAATAACTTAACTTAACTTAAGTTATTGAGTTAACTCAAGTTTAAGATTAGCACTTGATCGCCTTAGAAAGAAAAGAAATTCAATGCAACAAGGCCAATCACTGTATTTCTCTACGGTTAAAGAGTTTTGCCTTTTAACTTATTGATATATTGGTGGATTGATTGATTGGTCGACCGATTGATTGACTGACTTCTCTGACTGACCATAAGAGACCCTTCCTTAGGAATAGGATTTACAGACAGATATCTACAATGATATTGATACAAAATATAAGAACGAGCTTAGCGAATTAATTTTAATTGATATATTTTAATAATAATTTTTTTTCCTTTTTTAGCGTGTTCCGAAGATTGGCATTCTTTCCAAAGCTCGTGCTATCAGCTTACCACAGATGTAAAGAGCTGGAACAACGCAAAATTGAAATGTTCCAGCAGTGGTGCCCAGTTGGTGAAAATTGATACTTCTGGAGAAAACGACTTTATTAAGACGACATTTTTGGCTAATGGCGCAGATTACTGGATTGGATTAACCGATGAAGAGACTGAAGGAAGCTGGAAATGGTCTGACGGAAGCATTCTCGCAGGATTTCGAAAGTGGCACAAATCCCAGCCAAATGGCAAACGTAAGCAAAATTGCGGTGGAATAAGAACGGGATCGTTTTGGTTCAGGAATTACGATGCAGAGTGGCACGATAATGAGTGTGGAGACTTTAGAGGGTACATCTGTGAAAAGTAAAATTTGGGGATCGTTTTCATCATATTTTGTACATTTGTCTCACTCTTTTAATAGTTAGCTTTGTATTCATTTGTTCACCCAATTTGTTCCTTCTTTATTTTTTACTTCTACGGGAGCTGATATCTGTTATGACTAAGAACACATGTTGATACACAAAAGGCCACCAGACAAACCAAAATAACGGCCGTCCAATAGATCTCACTTAGTTTTAGATTCTCGGCCCGTTTATAAACTCTCTCTTTGTAAAACCACAACGACATTCATCACGCAGTCACGATGACTTGACATTCACAGATTTGCGATGCTAAGTGTCCATGATTGTAGATGGGAAAAATATCCCGAAGTTTTATATTTGTTTTACAGGAGACTTGATGAAATATATGTACTAGGCCAATTTTTGTCAAAAAGTTTCGTACAAGAAGAAAAAAGCTGCCTATGTGCAAAAGAGCGGTATACAGATATAAAAAATCAACTTGAAATTGAATCCAAGACTGATTAATACTGTCAAAAAAAGTTGAATAAATCCTCACTGATAGTTTGGTGAAGCTGTAAAGACAAATAGTTAAAAAAACCTTGCTTGAGGACAAAAATTGTACAGTGAATCTTGTTTGATATTCCTTTTTCACCTTTTAAAAGTGAACTGAATGTTGTTCTTTTTCACCTGAAAAGAGTTCTGTCTCTGTTTGAGGTGATGTCCTAGAATCATAATATCAGTCATATTTCATAGATTGAAAGTAGAGGCGGACGCTTGTAAGCAGGGTTAGTGTTCCATATCAGGCTTAAATTACTGGGCGTCGCCGCCCTGTTTGTGACACCTATCTCCTAAAGGGCACACTCCTTAGAGATTTCATTTGTATGATAAACACTGACTATTGAATTAATTGAGTTGTAGTTAGAGTTTTCTGACACTAACAGACGACTACTTTATTTCCAATGCTTTCAAGAAGTTCACTCCAATTCTAAGAAATTAATCTCATCGTGGAAAGAAATGTTATCGTTATTTGTTTTGCTAAAATACTTGTTGGTCACTTGCTGATCAGTTTCAAGGATCTTGCTCTTAAAATTTTAAAGCAAAGAAGAGCTGGCATAAACACAGTCACCATGTTCGTCATTTGGCGCCCACCTGATGAAGAAAAGAAAAAGTATGGCAAGGGTGAATGTCTCGTTTTCTTTCTCTTGAAGTCATCAGTTAATTAAAGTATGAATATTTCGTTTATTTTCGCTTCATGAATTGACGAAGCTCTTAATAGCAATAATAGTACGACCAGATGTTATTTAAAATTATCAATTTGTGACGAATGAAATCGAAATCTCCAGAATCTATTTGATAATTTTTTGATTATGATTTTAATTGTCATTGTCCCTTTTTATCAAGGTAACTTTTCTTATAAGCAGTTAAGTTGAGGACAGAAATTTAGAAATAATGTTTCTGGTTTAATTTGGTTGTCATCGGGCTGCAGCGTCCACACAGTCCCATTCTGACCACTGTCCTACTCAATGGGGAGACGTTTTTATTTACGCCTCCAAACAAATTTTATTTCAAGATGCTTATTTTTTTGACTTAGCTTATTCTTTATTTTTATTTCGTCTAAGAGTACAATGATCGCATTCAACTGCTCTGCGTAGGTGGTGAGTAATTAAGTCTCTTGTTTCATCTCAGAGAGGGCACCTAAAAAACAGCTTCAACAGAGACCTTACTTCTCTTATCTAATTAGAAGTCATGAACAAACCCTCAATGCACTTTATTCAGTCCTACCGTCGAACCATTACATTACATTTCTAATTTGTGCACTTTAATTTGCTTTTTATGATTGTTTCACATACTTTGTCGATTCAGCTAATAAATAAGTTCTCAAAAGGCTTTTAAATCTTAAAAAGGTTTTTATTGGTTGGATTTTTTTAGTAGTGATTTCCCCCCTTGAGGTATAATCCATGAAGTCTCATCGAGATAAGGATTATAACCGTTGTTCATAACCGCTCTAACTTTCCTCGCCATTACTTTTCAGTATCAAAATAATGCACCATTCTCGTGCTATCTTGTTGATTTGTTTCATAAAAGCGAAACGTTATTGCCGTGCAATTAGAGAAACCGACAGAGAGCGCAATCTATGGTTTAGAACTTGTGTACTGCTTAAAAGTACACACTATTTTCAGTTGGGCGGCTTGTGTTTTGTGGTTAAATCCTGATTAAGAGCCGAATCATCCTTTTATTGAATTAGTTATTACACAAACGTCGACTCCCAGGTACAAAAAATCAATAGACTGAACTCTATAGACGTGTTTTCATTTTATTCTTTTTAGAATTCTTGTGAAAGCAACCCATGTTCGAGCAACACATTATGTCAAGCTGGGTTCACTGATAAAGGATATCGATATATTAGCGTTGAAGGAGGAACAAATGTTGATCAAGGTATATCTTAGGGAGAAGTGTAACTAGGCTTACGTTTCTGACAGTTACTTGCATGATGTAGTTGTTTTCGTTTGTAAGACCATTGTCACAAAATTAAATTATTGGATACTGATGACTGAACAATGAATATTGCGTCAAGATAATGAAGACAAGTCTCTTGTTTTCTTTTCTTAAAGGAAAACCAACAGCCTATGATAATTTGGCGGAAAAGGTTACAAAAGAATGCGAAAATTCCAATATAGACAAACTAAACCAATCGAAAACAAATGACAAACAAACAAACAACATCGACTGAATCATGAAAATTTTTTTTAGTTCATATAGTAAACTATGTTTAAAAGCTGATTTTCAATTATCTCTTATGTAAGAAGTTTCTCTCCGACCCTTACGAAGCCTGTAGGATGATAGGCTATACAGGTCCCATAATTATTCAGAGCTAGAATAAAGATGACTTGACATGAATAAAATTTGTTCATGATCTCAAAAAGCATCCGCTGTGTTGTCACCGTGGTTAGCATTGTCTTCTTCGTCAACATGGTTACCAACCTCAGCGTTGTCGCTATCTCCGTCGTCTCCGGTGATGTCGTCATCAACAGCATTGCCATCATCCAAGTATTCACCTCGGCCGTCAATGTCACTTTTGCCTTCGCCGTCGTTGATGTCATCATCAGCATCATTACCATTGTCTCCGTTTCCGCTGTTGCTATCGTCGCCGCTATCTTCGTCAACAGAGATGATGCTTGGTCTAACTCCACCTGGTAAGGTTTACAACTTGATTACAAAACCCTAAATATTTCAAATTGCGTCCGATGTGTAATCATTGTTTTTAATTTTATATTCCATGTTTTTTTAGTCGTGGTTTGCTTTTTCATCGATTATAAAGGTCCCACAATGATCCAATTGGGTCACTCTCTTAATATAATGTCGAATGATTTCCAACCGTGTGAGCTTTGTTTTTCTCGTCCTCGTCAGCGCTGTCACTGCTGCTTTCGCCCTCGTCACCGTTGTCCTCTGAAAAAATTAAGCAAATGAGAGCCACTCCAATATGAAGAAACATGCACTAAATGATGATTAAAACTGTCTCGAGTCAAGTTCGAGTCAATACAAAGCGTTCCCTTCTTTTTACTTTTAGTTTTTTTCTCTCTGTTTTGAAGGTTGTCTATTGCCGAGATCTTTTTCTGAGGGACCCGTCTCTTAGGATAAGGACTTGCAAATATTTTTACACAGTGATATTCATACAAAACATAAGAGCAAGCTTAGGATATCGATTTTGATTACATTAATTCATTTATTTCTTTATCTTTTTTAAGGGTGTCCTGCAGGTTGGCATTCACCTTCCCGTAAGCAAAAAGTCCTGGCACAGCGCAAAATTGGAATGTTCCTCAAACAATGGTGCTCAGTTGGTGAAGATTGATTCCTCTGAAGAAAACGACTTTATCAAAACGACATTTTTGGCTGATGGCGCAGGTTACTGGATTGGATTGACAGATGAAGAAACTGAAGGGATCTGGAAGTGGTCTGACGGAAGCATTCTCGCGGGATTTCAAAAGTGGCACGAATCCCAGCCAAGCGGCATACCTTTGAAGAATTGTAGTGGAATAAGAATGGGATCATTTCTGCTAAGGAATTACGATGCGGAGTGGCACGATAATGAGTGTGAAGACCGTAGAGGGTACATCTGTGAAAAGTAAAATATGGGGATCGTTTTCCTTCTATTTTCTGCATATTTTCTGCATTTATCTCTCGCTTGTAATAGTTTACTCAGCTATGTATTCGTAATTGTTCGTCCAATTTGTTCTTTCTTTCTTTATTGTTACTTATAAGGGAGCTAACATCAGTTATTACTAATTAGCTTACACTTTAGAGACACCCTAATCAACAACTGACAACATTACGCACGCTAAGATCTCACACATTGTTTGATGAAGGAGCAAAGGCGGAACGTACAACAAGGTTCCTCGTGTCTGTTATTCCTTTTTTCACCTTTTAAACCTAGCTGAAAAATTGTTATTTTTTTGCCTGTATATATTTCTGTTTCTGTTTGAGCTGATGCTCTAGGATCACTATGTGAGTGAGTCCATTTCATCGATTTCATCAATTGATTTCATTGGTATGATATGTACTGAGCATTGAATTATTTTATCTTAATAAGAGTTTTATAACACTGTCACATAGCTACGGTATCTCTGGTGCTTTCCAACTGAGTGTCTGATGCATAAACAATTAAATTTTATCTCAATTCTGAGAAATGTAATTTATCACATTGTTGTGGGAAATGTTCTCATTGTTTGTCTTGCTAAAGTAGGTGGTCACTTGCGGATCACTTTTCAAGAATTTTGCTCTCATGCTATACTGAAACAGCGATAATAAGCGTTTCGTTTCTCCAAAACGTATTCTATTTTTCCAGGTGTTATCATAGAGGGTTCTTATAATTTGTTCTCATTAACCAATTGTAAATGAGAATTATTCCACGTTGGTTGCTATCGTATGGCGCCTTGCGTGGCTGCATATTTTTTAGCTCCGTGTAACTCCCCTTCAATACTCGTGCTAATGGCCTACAACCGCCTTAAAAGCTTTCGTAAATTCTTTCTAAACACCCTATGGCCTTCTTACCGTGGGAAACGTGCGGGTCGCCTCGTAAGAGAGAGAGAAAGAGTCTCCATCAAACAGATTGCTATTGTTTCAACACTGAAAGTTAGCGGCCGTCCTTGGTTTTCAGCTCCGTTACGATGCCTCAACCCTGCGAACTGTATACAAATTACTCCAGCCCCTACAGATGCAAAAAGGAAGGTTTCACCGACGGCTTATGTACCATCTTTATTTGTCTCGAATGTCATGTCCTTGGCTTCCAAAGTGGATGAACTGCGCCACGTTGTCAAGTATGCTAATTTAGATCTTGTTTGTATTACGGAGTCGTGGCTTAAAAGCCACATTCATGACAATGTGGTTGCGCAGGAGAGCTACAATATCATCCGCAGGGACAGAACAGAGTTAAAACATGGCGGTGTGTGCGTGTATATCAAGATAAAGTTTACAGTCGTAGACGATTTAGAAGACCCTTCTTTCAAGGCGTTATGGATTCAAAGTAGTCCTACTGTAGTCCTCCCATAGAGATACAGCTCTAGTTTTCTTGGAGTGTTCTAGCACCTGCCAAGCGCTAATGACTCTGCTTTTTTAGAGTATTTAGAGAGGTGTTTGTCATCTATCGAAACAAGGTATTTCAACTGTGGCCTTTGTTTGGTGGGAGACTTTAACAGGCTACAAACCACACGGCTTAGAAACAACTACAATTTAAAGCAAATAGTACATTTTCCGACACGAGGAAAAAGAACGCTCGACTTAGTTCTCACCAACCTTCAAGACCACTACGAAACCCCAACCCAACGCCCTCCACTTGGCCTTTCGGATCACATGTCTATAGAAGTTCAACCGCAGGCGAGGATAAAGTCCAATAGCTCTACAACCACTATTCAGTCGAGGAATATGCGTCCCAGCAAGCGCCTAACAATGCGCACTTATCTAGAATCAGTGGATTTGGATACTATACTCAATTCCGCGGACAGTTGTGAAGACAAAACCTCGCTTTTGGAACAAATCATTAAGACTGGTCTTGACCATGTTATGCCTATGCGTACGCGCAAAGTACATTCAACCGAACCACCTTGGATAACGTCATCCTTGTTACAAAGGCGGCAAAGTGCCTTATCGACTAAACTCGGCCCATGGTTATTTCTAGTAATGATTAATGACCTGAGTGTGGCGAATACGAACATCTGGAAGTATGCAGATGATACTACCCTCGCTGAGTGTGTGGAAAAGAACGAAACCAGCTCGATGCAGTCGCGCGTTGATAAATTTGTTACAAAGTCTCGTGCTGATGGTTTCCAGTTGAATGAATCGAAGTGCAAGGAACTTAGAATATCATTCATAAAGTCAGAGAATACTTTAGAGCCTGTTACTATCAACAATACGAACATCGAGGTTGTTCCATCCGCTAAATTACTAGGTGTTATGATATCGAATGATTTGAAGTGGAATGTGCACGTAGAAATGATAGGTAAGAAAGCCGCAGCGCGTCTCTACTTTCTTAGGCAATTACAGCGCGCGAAAGTGCCAGCTAATGACCTTCTAAGTTTCTACATCACTTGCATACGCCCAGTTGCAGAGTATGCATGTTCAGTCTTTCATACCGCTCTACCGCAATATCTCTCCGATCAGTTAGAACGCCTGCAAAAGCGAGCACTACGCATGATAAGCACTAATGATTTATCTTATAGACTCGAAGAAGTTTTTAACATACCTACCTTGTATCACAGGAGAGAGGCGATTTTCAATTGGCGACTCTCACACTTTGTAGCGACCTCTTGAGTAATGGAACAAACAATTACGGAAGGGTCCTCGCAGTTTCGGCCATAAGCAGTTGCCAAGAGGAAATTTCTTTGCGAGAATGTTCGAAGCCTAAAAGTACGCAGTACAGAGATAAGTAGACTGTTGACGTATTCTGAAATTGGAAAGCTGCGCGCCAGAAAAAATTTCCTTAGCTCCCGTTGGGAATTATAATGTTCACCGTGTGCAACGTTGTTAGAATAACTCCACAAGCCATGTGTGTACATTTACATTTACAGGGTTCTGTGCAAAACTAAGATCCATCCGCATTTTGCAACCAGAAGTGTTCTATTGAGGGCATTGCAAGGGTGATATATCTCGTTTTCTATCTCTTGGAGTCTTCAGTTTATGCATGTAAGAATTTTAATTCCATATTTGTCATTTTCTATATTTCTCCTCGTGGCATTTTAGGAGTCTCCTTGATATTAACAATAGTGCATCTTGAGATCAATCAAAATTGTTAGTTTGTGACCAGTAAAATGAAAACTCTTGAGGAGCAGTCGAAAACATTTCGATCAAAGTGAGGTAAAGATTTAAAGGCTGGCTCGGATTTTCTTTTTTTCTCAGAATAACCTTCAAAAAGGTGTTTGAAGTTAGCTAGAAGATAGAAATGTAACGAAAAAAGGTTTTAGTGCTAAACAGATGCGGCTGTCAAAGTCATCAGCAGTCATTTAGGCCTACAGAAGGAGAAACGTTTTGTTTGATTCATCTCCTAATATATCTTATAAATCGAAGGAACTTATCACCGACGTTGCGAAATAAATTGAGGCAAATTTTCCAATCTAATTTTTTAATGGTGGAAATGATTTAGTTGTGATTGCACCTCATGTAGCTCAACTCAGCGAGAGGTTATGTTATATTCTTAAATAGCTCTCTCCAACGATTGCCGAATCATTCAATTTGAGCCTGAAGCAAAGCACAAGATTCTTAAAAATCATATGATAAGAAACACCAGTGTTCGAAGAAAGTCACAGTGTATGACGCAGTGCTTCCTTGAACCCAACTGTGTGTCCTACAACTATGGTCCATTATACAGTGATGTACCAATATGTGAGCTCAGCAATCGCACCCACTTACAAGGCTCCAGCAGCGACTTTATACAAAAGGAAGAGTACATCTACTAACACATCTTGGTAAGAAACAAAAACTAATCACAATTATAGAACTTTGGGATCCGGAGTCCAAAACCAAAAGTCAAAGGAATCTTAACGGTATACCAGCCTTAAAGGCAAGAAGTCATAATTGGTGGTTCGCATTTAATTGATTTTTAATCTTTCAAGTGTTAAAGCCATTTCAACAATTTTCATATATTCCATTATTTTTTAATTTCTTTTTTTTGAGTTTGAATTAGTTTTTTTTTTTAATGTTTCTACAAGTACCTTCAAATACCTTCCTCAACCTACATGTATATCTCTTTAATGACAGAGCATGCGCACCGGTTGTTGATGATAAAAACTGTGCAATAATCACGAACCATCTTTCGAGGTGAAAACCTTAACTTTATGTATTATTATTAAATAAACTAGCCTCTTTTCAATGTTTTATTAAGCCTTTGATTACCTTCATAGAATCCCTGTGAATGCAGCCCGCGTCCAAGCAACACATTATGTCAAGCTGGGTTTACTAATAAAGGATAAGGAGCAACTTGTTATCAAGGTATATCTTGGGGTGAATTTAAATTAGTTTTAATACTCTATCTTTATGGTTTCTCAGAGGCATTAATATTACATTAAGAGTTAGAGGTTTCGTTCGTAAGACCATTCTCATAAAATTAACTAGATGCTGATATCCAAACGATCAAAATCGTGATAGTAAAAGAAAAAAAGAAAGAAAACTGATACTACTAATACTCGATAGTGCTAAATAATTAACAATTGGTTCATACGTCAGCGTGCGTTCATCGAGATATAAAGCACGCGGGAAGTTTGGAGAGCACGAAAGATGCGTAAGAGTTATATGAGTTATATGAGTGATTTTAAAATCGAATAAGCGCGCAGTGCGAGATCCTTTTGTAATCACAAGTGTGATTTCAGACCAAAATTGCACGACACAGGGTTCAATCACCACTTTATTACATCCATTCCGAAATCACCCAAATGCAGGAATTTTGGTCAGTTCAATTATTTTTATTGATGCAGTACTGAGCCGGTTTGAAATTAAATTCATCCATTTTTTTTTTTTTTTTTTGGGGGGGGGGGGGAAATAAGAGTTTTGGAAACAAAAGTTGCAAAATTTGCCACATGATACTTGTCTTTCATTTTCCTGAAATTTGATTGGTTTCTTTAAACAAGCCTTGAAATCTGAT